CTTGTCATGGGCAGGGGCTGGCAAGAGCAAGGTAGGAATGGAGAGCTTTCAACCCAGTAGGGCTCTGAATTCTAGTCATGGCAGCAGACAAGGAATTTAGGAACAAGGATGCCAAGCTAGAGGACTAGGAGCAAATAGTCCTGCGTAGTGATGCCTCTCATCAACAACGCCTAAGCACAGGTATCAGAACTGGTTCATGCTTCAGGTTTGGACCTTTGGACTTTAAACATGCGGGTTTAACAACTTAGCTCCAGCCTCAGATCAGGATTGGTCCTAGGAATATGGGGAGACTACACCAACCTGTGGAACTACATACCCCTGCTGTAGAAGGAAGGAAGGAGAATTCAGAGGCCAGGCTTGACACAAAAAGCAGTGATTTGGCATCACCTGTTCATACTGCCTCCTCCAACCCCAACCCCATCCCCATCCCCACCCTCATCACAACTCAAAGATAGAGCAACAGTCAGAACGCTGCTCTTCAAAGGTGTACAGGCAGATTTTTAAGGGGAAAAATTGTACTGAGAGTTTATGTTTCCATTGATCCTCACATGTTAAAAATTATACTTAAATATTTGAAAAAGCAAAACTAGTAGTTTTAATTGCAGTTATTTTTGTTTCCTTCTATTTATGAAGTGAGAGGACTACTAGGATCTCAGTTTTAGGTCTGTCAAAAAAATCTCTTTCAAAAGTTTGTCAGCAAGTTTCTAGCAGTTTTTGCTTATTTAGCATTTACCCTCTGTTCATCTGATTTGCCTTTGATGCACTTGCAGCTGACATTTTTTATAAATTATTCAATTGAACAATATGAAATTCCTGATGTTTGACTTGCCTCTGATTTTTTAAAACTGCACTTTCATATGGGCCAACCTAATAGTACTTGCTGTCTCTTTTTTCTTTTCCTGCAAACTACAAACAAGTTGAATTAAGGAAAGATGGGGGAATGGCCTGCTCGTTCAAAAGAACCATGTCTCATACAAATTGGTAATTGCAATATGGCCTCAGGGATAGAAAAAGACAGTCCGAGGAATACAATCAATAACGTTGTAAGCATTTCTTAGGGGGCCAGATGGACCAATGCCCTTTTGGGGAGTCCACTTCATAGTTGATGTAGAGGCCTGACCACCGCATTGTATTTCTGAAACTGATGTTGAATAATACTGTATGTCAACTATAATTATATATACATATAACCTCGGGACACGGAGTAGAGTGCTGGAACGGATTCAATGGAATTGTAATAGATAAGCATGATATTGGGGGTAGGAGGGCAGTGGATGGGGGGAGGGGGGTTGTTACTTTGTGAGGGTGAAAAGGGTAACTATTGCATTGTTCTGTACACCTGAAACTAACAATAAAAAAAAAATAAAATAAATAAAAAATAAAAAAGAACCATGTCTCCTACAAGACATTGCTGCTCAGGACTTCAGCCTGAAGTTTTTACACTTATCTCTGTCTATAATGAGCGAAATTTGAATATGGTATTTCCCTCTCAGTCATAAATCGACATTTTACTCCTAACCAACAGAGCTTTAAGTCATAGAAATTTCAGCTTATGTCAACAAATTTCTAAAGAGACTGTCTTCAGAACCATTCCCCCTCCTCCCCAGTATTTGGCTGAATTAAAAGTAAGGTTTAAATGGTTTAATCTCACTTAGGACAACCACTTCAATTGTTTTTTTTTTCTGTGTGTATAGATTTGTGCAGAATCATGCATGCCCTTACACACACACACACACACACACACACTCACACACACACTTGCATGCACATACACATGATGTCCGCATTTGCAGGAAGTCGGGCCAAAGTTTGTGATGCTGTCTATTTAACACAACTATTTCTCTGCAAAGAATGCAAGTAAGGCACACTGTTGCAGGACAGAAACTTGTTCACAGCAGAACCCAGGTTGAAAACGGTGCAATTATATTTGAAAGCCCCTTCATCCCCACTTCTTTTGTACATTCTTTTATCTCCCATCATTATCTTCTTTCAAGTTTTCACCAGCATTTCTTCTGAAAAGTATGTTTTTGTCATTTAATATATTATTTTGAACTTCACACATTATTCTGATCCATATAATCTGAAGAGACGTTCTCACATGCCTAGCAGAATCAGGAAATATTTCATTCTAGTGACGCTTGGGGCATTCCATCGAGTTTTCATACCTTAGCACCCAAGAGACAAAGAGGGGCTAGAATGAAATTAGGGAATAGTCAAATGATTTCAATGACTGAAGGGACTGACTTATGAATGCAGATAAATAAAACTTCTCTCAACTTAAATACTGAGCAAGAGCTGTCTACAATACTGGACAAATAAGCCTTAGGAAGAGAGAGCATTAATGTCGTGCAGCCTGAGTCATGTTCAGTGATGATATGAAATTAGGAAAATTCACAATAATGGGGTTTTTTAAAAAATCTAGAATTGGGAGCATATATTACATGAACAGCAAAGCTTCTGAGTAATAGTAACTTAAGGAAAGCTCGGCTGTGCTTGAAATAAATATTACCCAATCTCCCTTAGGTTAGCTTACGTCCTTTCAACTTTTATCTGCAGAAAGTTCTTTCTTAAATCTCCCTTAAATCTTGTATGCTGCAGCTTAAACAAATCACTTCTGCTATGTTTTTACTGGAAACAGTATTTTATCATATCTTCACTTCTCACACAGTACTAGCATATGCTGACATGTGTTCACCTAGCCATGAACCATTCAAACCAAGTACTGCTTTACCCTGTAAATACCTGCCTTGGCTTCTTTTTGTACAAGAATTATGCCACAGTTTCCTTCATATTTCATTTGCTTGTTTGTTTGTTTTAATGTTAACAAACCTTGTCCCACATCTGCCCACCTGATTGGTGCTAATAATTAAGTAATCTATTTTGAGGCTTCCCAAGAAACTGCCAGGCAACTTTGGGAAAGTTGCTTATACTGTGTGAGCCTGTTTTCTCACCTGTAAAATAAATACATTAATACCGTCTTTGTGTATTTTGTATTAGATATTAGAAATAATATATGTAAAACACCTTGAATTGTAATGGACCTATAGTATACACTCCATATGGATAGGTTTTTGTTCTTATTATAAATTGTATTTATTGGTATATATGCCTTAACTTCACTAGATTTATATACTCTAAAGTGCCTAGCATGTAGCAGATGCTCAGTTAATGGGTTGCTAAATCAATAACTGAATTAATGAATAAACTAAAAATCGATGCCAATTATTACACATTATAGGAAATGCATGTAAAGGGGCACTTCTGTTTGTAGCAAAGGCTGCTGATTCATCGTAATGTCAGTACAGATTTACCCGGGCATGCTGAGATAGGCTGGTGTCATTCTAACCACCATCCCAAATTCCAAATACAGGTTGGTACTAAAGTCCCTCTGAGGTTAGATTGCTTATAAGTTCTCCCTGGAAAACTCAATCTACTTTTTTTTTTAAATTAAAGTTGATTGGGCTGACAATGGTTAGTAAAGTTACATAGGTTTCAAGTGTACAATTCTGTAATACATCATCTATATGTCACATTGTGTGCTCACCATCCAGAGTCAGTTCTCCTTCCATAACCATATATTTAACCCCTTTTACCCTCATCTACCACCCCCTTCCCCTTCCCCTCTGGTAACCACTAAACCATTGCCTGTGTCTACGAGTTTTTGTTCATTTGTTTGTCTTGTTCCATTGTTGTTTTCAGTTTTATATCCCACATATGAGTGAAGTCATATGGTTCTTGACATTTTCTGTCTGACTTATTTCACTTAGCATAATAATCTCAAGATCCATCCATGTTGTCAATCTACTTTAAAATAGAGGAAAAACTGCTTTGGTCTCTGATTTTATCATGATCTTACTATAACAAAAGAAAGCTTTCACATATTCAGAAAGAATTTATTATGTACCACGTGTCAGCAAATTTACAGTAAATTGCAAGTGGATTCCTAAAAAAGAACCAACTGCCTAAATATTAATGCATTTGCCTACATGCTCCCCTAGATGCCGATGATGATAACCTTGTGCTAATTATAGCAGGTACCATTTAATGGTGTGTGTGTGTGAGAGAGGGAGAGAGAGAGAGAGAGAGACAGAGAGAGAGAGAGAGACAGAGAGAGAGAGAGACAGAGAGAGAGAGAGAGGAGAGAGATTTATGGTCACAACAGCCATTATGAGTTGGATCCAGTTTTCTGTTTCACTGGAGAGAAACTGAGGATCTGGCATGAAATATCTTACCCAGGGCTGTACGCGGGTGACTCCTGTCACACCTGTGCTTTCAGTGACAGTGGCTGCCCCATTCCTAACAGAAGCAGAGATTTGGGGCTTCTTTGTAGACAGGGATGTGGGCACAGAAATCTAAGAGGGATAATCAGTCAGCCTATAGAAAGAACCAGATTATTTGTCCTGGCCGATCCTTCTGCCCGAGCCTGCTGTTAGGCTCCAACCAGATCCAGGACCCCGCATTCAGCCTTGACTGCAGCCTCTCTCTCCTTTTTCACCTACAAGTGTCCCTTCACATTCAAACCCAAAACTTCCTAGCAACTTTCAGGAGGATTAAACAGAATCCAGATACAATGTTTCTGGATATATAAATGTTAAGAAATAAAAGCATAGTATTCTCTGATACTAGTAAATATTTTAGTTAATCATAATATTTTGTGATATAGTCAAATCAAAGCATAAATATTGGAGGAAGCTTTGAGTCAACTGTTTATATAACATTTTCATTGCTGTATGTTATTCTTAGATTTTTAAGTTTTCAAAATTGTAAAAACCATATGTTCTGAATAACTCATTACCTATAATAATCTGTTGACCAGTGTTTAGAACCTGAGATTTTCTCAAAGGGCAATGTGAAAAGAAACTTATTTGAATGTGTTCAATGAAAGAAGAATGTCTGTATTCAGTTTTTAAATATTAGAATGTAGGTCTGTTCCAATGACAGTGGATCACTGATTTATCACTATAAACTGAAGACTGTGCTCTCATTTTATTACAAACCAGTGCTCTTGGCTGCCCGTATTCGGACATGAACTTGAAAAAGGAGGCAACACTCCAGGATCGTCTCACAGAACAAACACAGGCAAATTTGGAATTAGACTCTTCACATTCAAAATTGAAAAACCCCTGTAGTTTTAACTTCAGTGGAAAACATGAAAAGGTGAACAGTCAGCCCAGGTAAGGAACTTTTTGAAAATATGAACTACAAAGTAAACCATGTAGAATAGTAAAAGAACAAATTTGTTGGTAGTAATAATTCCTGATATTTCTTTGAACAATTATTTTTATTTCTGGATATTGTTGTGTTCAGTGGCTCATAGAATTTATCTAAGCCTTGATCTTCATTTAAAAACCATTTTAATTCATCCTCAAAAATTTGAATTTATCTTTTTCCAAATGTGTATATTACATGTAAGCAATAGAAAGCATATCTCATCTACAAAATTCTATAAAATTCCATTGCACCTTGACAACTTCTTTATTCTTTGGAATTATTTTATGGATGGTATCTCTTTTGGCACATGGCCAAGTATTTGTATCTACTCAGTTATATCTGGATTTCCTTTCTTTCATGTTACTTGGCTTGGTCATCTTTAATCCAAATGCACCTCACATACAATTTCATTGTACTCTGAATAGGTTTCATTTTGATTTACTGATAACACATCATCCTTTAGTTCCTATATGTAAACTTAACCTTTTAAGTATCAGATTTCAATTTTTATTTACATATAATCATTTTCTAAAGAGCTGCAAATGCAACCTTATTTGATATTTTTAACCTACATGAGTAATTAATCAAAAATAACATCTTTTCTGTGAGAGAGCACCCATCTCCATGTTGTGAATTATAAACAGAGAAAAATCTCACACTAAGTAAATAATTGGAGACCACACAGAGATGGAGCCAAGGAAACCTAGACAGAGAAGTGAGAAGTGGATGTTTTTTCAGACCCCTCTGCAGGCACACATGTTCAAGCCCTAAAGGACAGGAGTCCCTCTCTATGCCCTTTTGACCAAGCTGCTGTTTGAGAGCCTGCTGTTTCTCCTAAACCTCTAGAGCCCTACTCTTTTCATTGGGAAGGTGTAAAAGGAAGATTCGCATGCCTCTCGCTGTGGCTATGGGAGGAGAGTTTCCACCCGAACAGCTTTCTGCCCATTGACACCGCCAGTCCCAACAAGTGTGCTCCTTTACCTCCAAGGGGAGACCTGTGCATTGGGAGGATTTGTCTCCTAGGATACATTTTTCACATGGATTTTACATCCTGAAATGTGTTTTTTTTCCCCTTTTTCTTGCAAATGTTGTTACTGAGAATTTGGGTGACATTTCATTTTTGTTAAATAGCTTATTTTGATATTGATCACTGTGCACATGATTTGTGCTGCTCAGCTCTCCTCTTTCTCAGGATCTATTTCCTGTGGATACACACGCCTCTCTATTTCTGTAGCTGTATCTTGCATTTTTAGTATTTGTTAGACACCCGCTACTCTTGTTGAAACTTCACAGGGTCTAGTTGTTCTTTACTGCTCTTCACACCCACACTGTTTACAACTCTAAGTAGCTGAGAGCCTGAGCATCCTTTCCATTTCCTAGGTGAGGGAGAACTTTTTCTTTTTCATTTTTTTAAACTGTTTTCCAAGGAACAATGTTTATTTATTTCAGTACATCCATTTGCCCTTATTCTTTCTGTTCTACTTTGTTATCTTTTTTTCCAAATAAAAACTCAGTCAATCTCTCTTGTAAACGTTTTAGACATTCATCCTCAATGTCAAAAGTCAGAGAGACTAAGCAGATCTTTGAACTGCTTTAAAAAACGATTACACTGTCATATTCTCGCAGAGGTCAGTTAAACCTTTCTTTTCAACACAGATATATGGCTTCCCCTGTCTTGAACTCCTCTTAGGAATTTGCTCTTTTCAATATGTTGTTATGGGTTTATTATTTTGAAGGGGTTTGCACTGAAATATATCAGAGAAGCATAATTACTACAGATAGAAAAAGTAGAGAATGTGAGTTGATAATTGAGCAAAAAAAATCACACATGATCTTGTTTTGTCAAATCCTATTTCATGTTTGCACAGAAGTATGCAAGTAGCTGGACAGGGGGCGGTAGGGGCATGTGGGGGGCGGGTGTCACACAGCATGTGTCTTGAATGCTTAAGCCTTCTTTTGCTTTCAAACCTCAAGACCAAAACCATCCTTGCACTCCTATCCCCGTCCATTTTTATTTTTAGCCAATCATCACAACAGTGTTTAAATAAATAGTATTGGCAGTAGTGACCACTTTCACTTATTCCCATCTCTATGACATTCTGCTCATGGTCTAGAATTCCAGTGTGAGGTAAAAAGAGAACAGGACGTCAACAAGAAATACTATGTAGTCTAATTATGAGCAGATAAAGTATATTTTAACCCTCTTCACAGTTTACTTGTAGTAATTTCCTGAGGCTCTCTTTCCTCTAGTCCAAACCTTTACTCTTAAAATCACAAGATATCACATACAAGTGGAGGAGACTATTTCAATTCCATCTTTTCCATATATTGAGAAGAAATAATTTTATAAAGAAATAATTTATAAAATGAACTCTTGACATTCTTCCAAAATCAATTAGATGCTGCCCAGCAATTTAGTGAATTTTGACTTTTCCTTAACTACATTCCAGTTTTGTGTTTCTTTTTAAAAAGTACATTTGTTTTCATGTTAATCTTTGGAGAGAGTGTTATTAATAAATATTTAGTATCCATGATTTAGCAGTGGAAATAGTATACTTATGTTCACGTTTTCTTAGTAGAGGGTCAAGTTTTAAGTTTGAGTGGATTATATACTACTAGACGTTTACAAAATTCACCTTCATAGAAGTAAAGTTATATGTTAATACAACTTTAAAGAGTCAGATTCACAATAGGTAATCCCTACTAAAAAACTCTGTGTGTGGGGGGAGCTGGGGGAATGGGGGAAGGTGGGAGGTGGGAGGTGGGGGAAGGGTATTCATTTTTCCTTGGGCTAACAGAGTAGTAGTATATTCCTGGTGCATGAAATGTAGTCAAATTACCTTATACTTGAGTGTCTTTCATTTGGGTATGTACTCTAGGGGGATAAAAACCTTTAATTTGTTTAACGGTTTATAGTTGTCACATACATTACCTTTGGAGCTTTCCATAATCTTGTAATTTAGGCAAAGCAGACATTATTATCATCATAGTATTGCCAGTTACAGGTGAGGAAGTAGAGATTCTTACTAGCAGCTGATCTGGCACCCAAAAATAGGTTTTTTTATGAAATCCAGAATATTCTAGCTCAATAAACTAATAATTGTAACACCAAAAATAATAACTAATATTAATATTACATACTTTGGGCTGCAAAGCATTGTGCTGAACAATGTATATACATCATCTTGTTAATTTTATTTCACCATCACAACTACCCTATGCGTGGTAAATATTCTAATTCTGATATTATTATGTAAGCACCCGAAGGTTCAGAGAGGTGAGGCAAAGTGTGCAAGATCACACAGATAAGCAGTAGAAAAGTTGTGATTTGAATCCAGAATTACCTGACTCCAAATGCTACACATGTTTCAACTATATTAGGCTAGCAAAAGAAAGACAATTTAAGACTTTGAAAATACTCAGCTGGGTTTATATTTAGACTAATTTCTACTTCTGTCTAGAATTCTCAGGGTCATCTTGTGATGCATTTATTTCTGATTTTCTGAAAATAGAACTATTGAAGGAGAAGAATCTTAACTATGTTTCTCCCAAAATGTTCATTATTATTTATACTATATATAATACAAAATCTTCCACCTTGAGCCCATTTCATTGTAATATACTAAAGGCTTCTATCTTCAACAAGGGAATAAAATTATACTCATTAAAACAGTTTTATCATAAAGAAAATTGCTTTGAAATGCAACTCCCCCCACCTCTCATATTATCTGTTAGCTGGCTTCCCTAGGCCTGAGTAGGACTTTTTTTTTTGACATTGCCAACCCACCTAAGTATTCTTTAATAACTTATTTTGCCTCCCCAAAGCAATGTTCTAATTCACACAATTGGTAGAACCACCATTAGTTAAAATGCCTATCATCTTCAATCATCACTATTAAGAAAATCTAAGAAAATGCCTAATAAAGCTCACTTTGTTTTTCCTAATGCCTGCCATATTATAAATTTTATGCACTTCCCTAAGGCTTATATTGATGATAAAATGGGTTGGGGAAAATTATGATAATCAGAGAAAATGGCATGTAGCAGAATAGTTCCCTAATGGTTTTCATAATAAATTGCATTGCCATGAGCCAATTCGTTGATTTCCACTACTCAAGTTAGCTGTAACATAAATACCTTCTATGAGGTTCATTTGCAGAACTAAAATAGTGTGAGTTGGTTGTTCCACATATTAATTTTCCAAGTTATTAAATAGATTTTCTTTAACCCATCAGCCTTTTCTCACTCCTTCCCACAGAAATTCTCTGCTTTAGGAGATAAACTCTACTCAGTATCCCACTCACTCCCTGTCATCAAACACAAAGTTTTTTATTTCTGCTCCAGTGCCTTTGTTCCTATTCTTCTTATCTTACTTATTAATGAATCTTCTCCCTTCTCCGAGGCCCCTCTCTGTCTTGAAGTTTTCTATAGAAGTTCCAGCCCATATGAGCTTCTTGAGGATAGAAATTGTGTTTTAATTCTTTGTATTTCTAATGCCTAATATAATGCCAGACACTTAGTAGGCACTCAACAAATGAAATAGATTTTAAGCAACCCCTATGTGCCAGGGACTGTGCTAGGCCCTGAGAGATGGATCAAATAAGAGATAGTCCCTTCCCTTTTTCTTAGCACTAGTTGTGCTTTTGGTCTAAACTATACATCTGTAGCTTATATGTGTGTATCTTTTTAATACTTGCTTTGTGTGTGTGCCTTATTTTCTCAAAAAAATTAGAGGCTGATAAAGGGTAAGAATCAATTTTCATTATGCTTTTGGTTTTTTCTTCATTACTGTGTATACTATAGATTTTAGCAAATCTAAGTTGAATGATTCATATATAAGCATCTATATGAGGTGTGATCAAAACATGCAGTGAATGTTTAAGTAAAAAAAGTTTATTACAGTAAAAGACACATTACTATTAATCCCCCTCAAGTACTCCCCCTTGCTTCAAACACACTTATC